TTTGGGAAGTTCAGGATTGCTAATAATACCTTTTATAGTACTAGGATGATATAATAAGTTATGAGTTACTTTAGAAGAGTAATGTTTGGTCTCTTGAGAATAAATAGATTATTGTTTTACCCCTGTATATAAATGAAGAAATCATGGGTGAGCATATTGGGAATACTGTCTTTCCCTGGTACTGAATTTAAATGTGACATTAAACAGTAAAAAAAAAATTCAGCTGGGCCTTATACCAAATTGATTCCAAAATAGCTGTTCCAAATAACATTCCTAAACCATCACTACCTTTTTTTGGTAGTTTTGTAAAAAGCTATTTTGATATATGACAAAATTACCTAGTTTTTTATTTTGTTCATTAAATCAAAGTAACCAGATGTTCCCATTATAGTTACCTAAAGACTTATCCAAAAAGAAACACTGGAATGACCAGTTAACATCTAAGACTTCCAGCTCCAGAGTCCCAGAATCTAGTGAAAATAAAAACACTGAAGGAGTCACTCAAGAAGCATTTGATCTTATGATTAAAGGTATGAAAAAATTACCAATTTTAAATTGTGCTATAATTAAATGTCACAAATGGTATTTATCAATATTGTATGAATCTTTCCCCAGCCTCTCAATCTCAGAATACTATGAGATACTGGACTTCCATGCTTTTGTTTATTGGTTTGAATTCTGGGCCTTATGCTTGCTAGACAGGCACTATTACTGCTGAGCCTTAACTGTAGCCTTGTTTTCTGTAGTGTTTTTCTTTTTGTCCTTTGTCAGTTATAGGGGTTGAACTCAGGGCCTGGGAGGTGGTCCCTTAGCTTTTTCACTCAAGGCTGGTGCTCTCTACCCCTTGAGCCACAGCTCCACAGCTGGCTTTTTGCTACTTACTTGCAGATAAGGGTCTCAAAGCTAGGATTATAGGCATGAGTCACAGGTATGTTGCCTTTTTTTTTTTTTGGATACAATCTTGCTGTGCCTAGGCTGGGCTTTTGAAATATCATTTCTCCTGCCTCAGCGCCCTGAATGCCCACATTATAGGCATATTTATGATCACTCCAGGGTTATAGCAATTTTTAAAGGTTAATATAACATTTATTTCAGAAAATCCGTCCTCTCAATATTGGAAAGAAGTGGCAGAAAAACGGAGGAAAGCTCTCTATGAAGCACTTAAGGAAAATGAGAAAGTATGTACTATGTATTAATTTTTCTAATATTTAAAGAAATTCTAGTATTCTACTTTTGCTGCATTAATAGCATAGTTAGACCAATAAACTAACTTTTATATTAGACTAAGAAAGTTTTGAGAAGAAAGTCAACTGTTACTAAATTACCATACAAAATCCTATTATGTTAGAGCTAACTTTATGCAACATGTGTTTGTCAATTATGCACTTGGAGGCATATAATTTGATTAAAGCATAGCATATCTATGAAATAGTGAATTTTATTTGTATTACATAGCTTCATAAAGAAATTGAACAAAAGGACAATGAAATTGCCCGCCTGAAAAAGGAGAATAAAGAATTGGCGGAAGTAGCAGAACACGTACAGTATATGGCAGAGGTAATAGAGGTAGGTAATTTCATGTTTACCTAATTCAGATGCATGTGTTTTCCTACAAAACTGAAGCAGTAGTGTGATCTAGTAGGCGTTTGGGCTCTGTAGTCAGATTTTCTAGGTTTGAGTCTTTGCTCTTGAATTGAGTTGGATTCATTTTCCTTAGCCAGAAAATGGTAGTGACAATGCTTACATATGAAAAAGTTAAGGAAGATTATTATATTTCATAGTGTGTGACATTGCTGTCATATATAAAACTGTTCATTAGTACTCTAATTGAATTTGGCAGTTATAACTGACTTTTAAACATTGGAAGTAGCTAAAGTTGGCCTGGGCCCTGAAATCCTACCTACTCAGGAGGATGAGATCTGACAATCACAGTTTGAAGCCAGCCTGGACAGGAAAGACCTCATGAGACTTTTTATTTCCAATTAACCACTCAAAAACTGGAAGTGGCACTGTGCAAAATTGCTCAGAGACAGCACCCAAGTCCTGAGTTCAAGCCCCATATGACCAGGAGGGGGAAAAAAAAAAAACAAAAAACAAACCTTGGAAGTAGCTAATGTGGGGCTGGGAAGGTGGCTCAGTGGTAGAGCGCTTGCCTTGCATGCCTGAGGCCCTGGGTTCCATTCCTCAGCACCACATAAGCAAAAAAGAAAAAAGCTGGAAGTGGCGCTGTGGCTCAAGTGGTAGAGCACTAGCCTTGAGCTGAAGAGCTGAGGGACAGTGCCCAGGCCCAGGGTTCAGGCCCCACGACCGGACCCCAAAAAAAAAAAGGAAGTAGTTAATGTGTTTGTGAAAATTATCCTGATGACTGTGATTTTACCAGGATTGACCTGAAACAGGTTTAAAACGTAACTCATGTTTGGAAAAGAAAACTGATGGGAAGTTTTAAAATAAAAACTTCTGTGTTGAATTGTAGTATATTTTACAGTTGTGACAAAACATTAAATTTTAAAGTGCTGTAGTAGCTCTCCTAAGTGCCTTAAAAATTTTTTTCTGCAGCTGATTAAAATGTAGATAAGAATCCAATGTGTAGCCTACAAAATTAAGAGTAGTAAGGGAAAGTAGTAGATAGGAGAGGGATGAGTGAGAAGAATGTTGACAAGAGTGACCGATCAAGTTATAGTCATAAACTGCTTTGTTAAATGACAATACCTTTGTTCAACTACTTAAAGATAATAAAAGAGGTTGGAGGTGTGGCTCAGTTGGTAGAGTACCCGCCAATGAGCAGAGTCAGGTATCAAGTTTGAGTCCCGGTGTCACATATAAAAAATAATAATTGAAAAAATTGAAAAAAAATTAAGAGCACCAAGTTCTCATTTCAATTTTCTAGAGAAAGATCATTTGGGCTTTGAAATCAGTTCTATGCTTTAAAGAATTGAGAAATTATTAAGCATTGATTTGACTTATGTAATCTAGCATGATGGAGATTTTGATATAACTTACTGCTTAAAAGTGAATTGGGAGGCAAGAGGAAAAACAATCCATTGCAATATTGAGGGTCAACAGTATCAGCATACTGATAATGGGGTTCAGTTTTAAGATTTCACAATGACTTTGGTTTATTCTTTAAAAGAGGCTGAGTAATGAACCTCTGGAGAGCTTTGAATCACCAGATAGTCAGGAGTTTGACTCTGAAGAGGAAACTGTTGAGGATTCTGAAGTGGAAAACTCAGAAGCTGGTACAGGTGCTGAAGAAACTGTATCTTCCTCTACAGATACAAAACCATGTATATGAAATTCATTAATATTTGACTCTTGACATACTACCAAGGTTTACTTCCACTCTCATTCTTTGTAGCAGAGTAAAGAACTACATAATGCAAATGCAACCATCAAATTTCCTCATTTGGATCCTGGGACACTATTTTGTATTAAAATACAACTAGCATGTATTTTTAATCTGTTGTTTTACGTAAATAGCATTTTCATTTTCTCAGTTGTCAGAAATAACTTGTATATTTGATTAAATAAACTTTGTTTTCCTATTGCTTATTATTTGTATGTCTTGGAAGAATGAATATAAAGGGTCTTTATAGAAAATGTGGCTCACGTATGTAATCCTAGCTACTCAGGAGGCTGAGATCTGAGGATCACAGTTAGGCCAGCCTGGGCAGGAAAGTCTGTGAGACTCGTGTTTCCAGCAAACCACCAAAACACTGGAAGTGGCGCAGTGGCTCAAGTGGTAGAGTGTTAGCCTTGAGTTGAAGAGCTTAAGGGACAATGCCCAGGCCCAGAATTCAAGCCCCACAACCTACCAAAAGAAAAAAAATGTATATTTCTGTGCTGATACATTGTTTGCTTTCCCTTTTATTTTTTCTCTTCTGTCTTAGAGGAAACAGGAAAATGAGCTGATCCTTGTACAGATGAGAGTTGGTTGAGGCTTTTTTAACTCCCAAACCTGCTTGTACCTCAAGCTCACTGGAAGCACTATTACTTTTTAGACTTGTGCACAGGATTATAGGCATGAGCCACCTGTGCCCAGCCATCTATTATGTCTCACAATTATAGTCAGTACATCTTCTAGTGAATTTCTATTTCATGAACTTAATTTTTAAAAAAATTTAGCAAGGATTTTATTTTTTATTTATTTTTATTTATTTATTTGAACAGGGTTAAAGTGGAGAGAAATGAAGATAGATTTTTTCTTGCATCCCGTGTAGGAAATGGGAGTTGATTCTGAACTTAGTTTTTAAGAAGCACTTTTAAACTTTCAAAAGTACATTGCTTAAAGAATATGGTATTATGAGATGATATAGGTTTTTCTTATTTTTTATTTATTTTTTCCTGTAGTGCTGTAGTTCAAGTGGTAGAGAGCTCCCCCTGAGCTGAGGAGCCCAGGGACAGTGCCCAGGCCCAGAGTACAAGCCCTACAACTGACAAAAGTTTCATTGTGATCTTCCCATTAGTAATGAAGTGCATGTTCTTAGTCTGCTTCAAATAGCTACTAGAAAATAGTTTTATGATTTTATGGTAAACAGTTGAGATAAACAGTCTGGATTTTATAGAATAACAGGCAAAAATTAGTATTCTAGCTCTACAGTTTTATAACCATGTATATTTCCCATTATATCTACCTGCAGGCTTTCACTTTATATAGATTTGGTTCTTGCTATGTTGCACAGGTTGGCTTTGAACTTGTGATTCTCTTGCCTCAGCCTCTAATGCAGCTAGGATTACAAGCCTGGGCTACTGCACTCTCTGTGCATAAACAAGTTAGAGGGCATGAGAGTATTATACCCATAAACAAGTTCAGAGGGCGTAGATAAGAGGTCATCTTAAACAGCAATGCCTTTTCAGATGTTTTGTTACTGCAGTTCACTAACGACATGAAAATGACAGCTCTTTTAACAAAAAGATGACATGGAAACAATACATTGATTTTATTGTTCGTTTCCAGGGTAATACAATCATAGAGCTGGGTCATGTAAATGGATTTAGAGAAATTAATTCCTGTGAAAACCAATTAGGAAATACAACACTTCTGCAAAATTCTCAGGCCATCCAGACCAATTCTCGGAAGCCAACATTTGTAAATGATATTTTAGTTTAGGGCACTCTCTGAGCTCCTTCATGAGAGTTAAGTTGTTACATGTCATGACAGAGAGGGCATAACAAGTCCAAAATCGAACGTGGAGGTTGCTGTCTAATTCACTGTTGATAGTTGACTCAAAACTGCTTTCAAAAAAGGTAATGAGAATAGGAATAATCTGCAGGTGTTGGGCTCTTTTCTGGCTGACAGGGTCTAAGTAACACCAACTTGCTACACTCTGGAGCAGCAGAATCTGTATTTTTGGTGCAAAGCTTTGGTTTTGCAACAAGGAAATGACTTCTTTCATGTATTCAGTTGCGTATTTCGCAGCAGTTGGTCCTCCTGTAAAACAGGTATTTGCACTGCCAGAATTATTTGCTACATTTAGTAGTTAGTCACATTTTGGAGTCTTCTGTATTTTCATATTATTTTTAATGCTGCTAGGAATTGAACCTATGGCCTTGCTATATCCCTAGATCCTATACTCCTCTTTTTGTTATATAGGTGACAGATTGGATCCTCTGAAATTTCCACATGCTCTGAATACAAGCATAGAGAGTAATATGATAAGTGTGGGAAGGTTACTGCCTAAGTCTCCTTTCCTGGTACTTTTGTGCCGGTACTAGGCCCTGAACTCAGGGCCTGGGTGCTGTCCCTTAAACTTTCTCATTCAAGCTCTGCCACTTGAGCCACAGCTCTACTTCTAACTTTTTGGTGGTTAATTGGAGATAAGAGTTGCATGGACTTTCCTACCCAGGCTAGTTTCAAACCTTGATCCTTTGATTTTTGACTCCTGATTCCTTTAATCAAGCATAGAGAAACATTTCAAGATAAAACCTGGCTATGTTCACTTAGCAGATCTCCTTCATGATCTCTGACTAATACATTGGGGAAAAAAACAAAACAAAAAACCCAACATGGATACCAGAGCATTGGAACAAAGTAAAAGAACTGAGCCCAAAGCCAGGAGCCAGGTTTTCACTTGTTTGTAGCTATTGTTTTCTTTTGTTTTTGATGTTGGTCTTGGGGTATGAACTCTGGTCCTTGGCGCTGTCCCTGAGCTCTTCACCTCAAGGCAAACACTATCATTTGAGCCATAGCGTCACTTCTGGTTTTCTGGTGGTTAATTGGAAATAAGAGTCTCATGGACTTTCCTGCCAGGACTAGCTTTGAACCATGATCCTCAGATCTCAGCCTCCTAAGTAGCTAGGACTACAGGTGTGAGCCACCGGCGCCCAGCTATTTTGTTCTTATAGACATTTCTCACCCATTTCTTCCACAAATCTCAGATTAACATAAAATTACAAGGTTTTTCTTTCTTTAGCTACTGACTCAGCCTGGTTCTAGATTCTACTTTCATCATACACTTGAACCCCATATCCTACTTCAATTTTGGATTACAGCAAGGTACTGGCCAAGAAGGCTCTGGATGAAGAATACTTGAATAGATGTTTTTTATTTAGACTAGGCACCAGTGGCTCATGCTGTAATCCTAGCAATTCAGGAAGCTGAGATCTGCGGATTGTGGTTTGAAACCAGCCCTGGTTGACAAAATTGTGAGACTTTTCTCCAGTTAACCAGAAAGCCAGAAGTGGAGGCATGGTTCAGTGACAGCATGTAACCCTGAATTCAAGGCTCTGAGGTGTGGCAGTTTGAAGCTGGCCTGGCATATGTCTCTAGTTAATCAGGAAAAGAAAAAAAAAATCTGGATTGGAGGGATTATGCAAATGGTAGAACCACTAGCTGTTAGTGAAAAAGCTGAGTGGGAGTGGTGGTTAGGTCCTGTGTTCAAGCTCCAGTGCCCCAGTGCCAGCACACACATATATAAAATATAAGGTACATTTATTATGCACTGGAATCATATCACTATTAGAATAAAGTCAACTCCAATTATAGAGTGATTTTTATGTTAATAAAAGCATTTACTTATTGTTTTGAGGTGGTGTTTCACCATCTTGCCCAGGCTAGCCTTGAACTCCTGAGCTTAAGCAGTCCTCCCACCTTAGCCTCCCAAATAGCTGGAACTGTGTCACTGTTCCTGCCAATAAAAACTTTGATAGGCAAATTCAATAAATATAATAAAAATGAATATTCTGATTAGTATTTGATAGGTATATTTTAAAAACAGTATCTTATAGTTACAAGTACAAGCTAGTAAATCAAAGGAAATGTTACTAGAGTCTTAATCATCAAATTCAGTGTTTCAACATGTGCAGATTATGAAACAGTTATCTTAGCATAATGATACCTGTGAATGCCAATAGTCCAATTTTCTGGGCTGCTTTAGCTCTCTCTTCAATGGGTAGAGCATTGTTCTTCAATATACGGCCAAGTACTGTAATTTTTTCTTTATGAAAAATGCCATCACCTGTAAAAACGTATTCTTCATTCTCCCTCGCAATACATTTCTTAATGTTACTCCAGAATTTTTGAAAGCGCTGACGTACCCCTGCAAAACAATTGTTCATCCGAGCCCAATAGCTCATATTTACTGTGCAGAAAGGCCTGAAGTACTTCAGGGACCCACAGGCATTGACAATCTCACAGCCAAGAACTCTGGAATGGATTGCTTGGCAACACTAGAATGGAATAATACAAGTCCAGAGAAAATAGCATGCGCCTAAATTCCTAAACCTTACCTCAAACTTGTTTTCCCTAATATACACCAGACTCATTCCTGTCTTCATGTTTGCTTATGTAGGGGTTTATTTTGAACTTGCTCCATTCTTTGACTATCCTAACAAGTACTGAGCTGATTTTCACTGTTTTTGTTTTTTTTTTTTCTGTCCCAGGACTTGAACACATAGTTCAAGGAATTGAACTCTCACTTGGCTTTAGTACTTTTATCTCTTGAGCCACACATTCATTCTAGCTGGTGTTTCCTTGTCCTCTTCCTCCTTTTATCAATTTATTATCTTCATTTATAGATGGAAGAATTTCAAGATAAACTGAGGTGAAGGATGTTGTGTAAGTAACCAATTCAGAAAGGACACGCATGAGATACATCAAACTGCATGAGACTAGTAATTAAAAAATAATTTTATTTTAACTTTATGATTGGAAGAATGATGAATACAAATGTCACAAAACTAAAAGCACCCTCAACCAAAAGTAAAATAAGGTACAAAAGATAATGGAATTAATTACTCATGCAATATTCAAAAAAATTAAAAACCCAGGAACAAAGCCATGTAATATCTGTGATTTGACTTTATAAAAAGCACTCCAATCATTTAATGTAAGACTGTTAACAATACTAACTATAGACTGTACAATGCTCCTTTAAAGTGATGAATATATGCATATGTAATATTTATAAATTTACAAATAATGTACATTAGAACTTCACAGTCAAAAGAACTTTTTTTTTTTTTTGCCAGAAGCCTGGCAAACAATTTTCACTTTAAAGTGGTATCGATCCTTTTTTAAAAGTCTTGCTAAAATGAAAATATTGAAAATACATCTAAGTGAGACTTTATATACACACATCCAGCATACATTTGATATTCCACAGTTTACACTTATATATGTTGTTTTTGATACCTTGGCATACCCCATCTTTTAGAGGAAGAAACGAGCTACTGAATGGTCTTGTACTTTTTTGAATGGACCTGCTATCTTGCTACCGAAGCAATAAATGGGTGTTGCTCTTTTAACTCTGGCCAGAGAATCTCAACTGCAGTTGAATGGCTTCTCTAGGGACAGTTTCCATCCCACAAGACACCCTTCTCAATCTCATGGTCATTTGGACAGAAGCAGAAACCCTGTTTCCATGCCTCTTCATCCCTATCCATCCCAGATTTCTACTTCAAGACTATCACAGATGTCTAAATCCATGGCTTTTGGTTTTATTTGTCTTAGCAGCAAAGTACCTTTATGTAAGAGTATCATAAAATGGCTTTTGTGAAATATTTTTTAAAAAATTTAAGCATAAAGCTGGGCACTGGTGGCACACACCTATAATTTTCACTACTCAGGAGGCTGAGATCTGAGGATCACAGTTCAAAGCCAGTTTGGGCAGGAAAGTTTGTGAGACACTTATCTCCAACTACCTACCAGAAAACCAGAAGTGGCTCAGTGGCTCAAAGTGGTAAGAGTGCTAGCTTTGAATAGAAGAGTTTAGGATAGCGCTCAAGCCTCAAGTTCAAGCCCCATGACTGATTTAAAAAAAAAAAAAAGTTTAAGCATAAGTTTTAGTTTTTGGAGCCTTGCATAGTGGCACACATTTCTAGCACTCACAGGACCAAGGCAAGAGGATTGTGCGTTTGAGGCCAGCCTACCTACAGAGACAGTCTCGAAGATGTAGATTCCATCTGGAAAAAAGTTTTTCATTACTATTTTTCCTTTTTTTTAAAACCATAATGGAAAGATTACTAGGGAATTTTTAAGGATGGGAGGCAAAAAGTAGTGGAGCTTACACAAGTAAAAATTAAAAAAAATTACTCTTAACAATGGTTTATCTTGCTGAGATTGGTAGACAAACTTTACTTGAAGAAATTCTTTCTTTGTGCTTTGTATTTAAAGTGAAGTTAAGTAGCTAAAAGGGCACTCAACCCTGGAAACAACAGAGAAGACCTGCAAGGAATATGACATTTATTGAAATCTCACATGATGGTTTTCAAACTTAAGAGTAGTACTTCCCCCAAATGTACAAAGATGGCTATTTTCAAATTCCAATTGTATTCAGACACAAAATAGATTTAAGTACTGTCAGACAATAATGATATAATCTACTTTATTATACATAGCCCTGTGCTAATGGCCAAAGAGAAAAAACAGGTACTGTGGAACCGGACTGAATTCTTTCTATAACACATCACATTTCCAGACCAACTCAGCAGAACATGAGGTTCTAGTTAACAGTCCAGCAAAACCACACCACCTTCAAAACAAAAAGGGCTAGAAATTTGGGCAGTGGTTATAATGGAGTTAACGTGTAATTAAAAGGCTGTGGCAACTTCAGTTCCATGACGACCTCCAACTTTAACACAGTCTCGAGGAAATCTGTCCAGCTGTTCATATGCCAGTCGCCCATCTTCTCCTGGAATACAGCATTAATTAGGAATACTACTTCAAACTTTTAAACATTTTTATTTATCATGCAAAACAAATTTATATCAATGGCATCCATATGAATTGCTACTTCAGTGGTTTTTCTTTTTTTGTCTTTTTTGGTACTGGGGACTGAACTTAGAACCTTGTATTGGCTAGGCAAGCACTTTGCTGCTGAGCTACATCCCAGCCCTTTAGTGGTTTTTCATGGTGCCTAGGAATCAACCCAGGGCTTGGGTAAGCTAGGCTAGCACCTACTACTGAGCTATATTCCAAAACTTGCATTACTATTATAAGCATTTGCTCTGTTTAAGAAAAGCCATCCTGTATTATTATTTCCATTATTAGTTTTGGTGCCAGTACTGGGGCTTGAATTCAGGTCCTGGGTGCTATGCTTTGGCTTTTTGCTCAAGGGTACAGCTTTATCACTTGCCACAGCTCCACTTCTGGCTTTTTTGTGTTTAATTGGAGATATCAGTCTCATGTACTTTTCTGCCTGGGCTGGCTTGAGATGCTCAGATCTCAGCCTCCTGAGTAGCTCAGATTGGCTGGTGACATGAACCACCAGCACCCGGCCATCCTGTATTATGCTAATCATGTTATTGATTCCTAGACAATATTTAGAACACCAAGAACCTCAGAGCTAAGACCAGAGATCAAAAGAATGCCAAGTTATGTAACAAAGTAGAAGTCTTATAGCCATCTGATGCTGGTAATTTATATATCTAGATTATATTTTAAGTGCATTTGGGATTTCAATATGGCTTTTTTTTTTGCCTGTTGTAGGGCTTGAACTCTGGGCCTGGGCACTATCTCTGAGCTCTTCAACTCAAGACTAGCCCTCTACCACTTGAGCCACAGTACCATTTCTGGTTTTCTGGTGGTGAATTGGAGATTAAGAGTCTCATGGACTTTCCTGCCTGGGCTGGCTTTGACCTGTGATCCTCAGATCTCAGCCTCCTGAGTAGCTAGGATTACAGGTGTGAGCCACTGGCGCCCGGCTATATGGCTTATTCTTGACTTCAGTGAGCTGACCTTTGACACAAAGTTTATTACAAGCACTATATATCTATACATTTAAATAATCATTGGTAACTTCAAATGTAGGCCTTCAAGCATAAGTGAAGATGACTCTGCCTTATAAACATACAGTAAAGCAGCTGTCTTTTGTAAGACAACAGCTAATTTGGTTTAATTCACAGCAATCTCATGGCCAGCTAACATGCTATTTTCAAGACTTTTTTGTTGTTCTCATCCTACTTTACAGAGAAAAATGAGGGTTAGAGATATAGCTCAGAGGTAAAGGGTATGCTTAGCATATGTGAAGGACAGAGACATGATAATATGCAAGGTTTCATTTAGTTCCAGAGAGACAAAACTGTTAAAAGTTATGCTTAAGCAGAGGAAAACAACAGAGAAACCAGTGTGTGTGTGTGTGTGTGTGTGATTTAAATTCAGGGTCTTGTGTTCTCACTTGGCTTTTGTCACTCAGGGCTGGTACTCTCCCACCTGAGCCATACCTCCACTTCCTAAAAGGGATTCTTGATATGCAAGTTTTAGGAAAGGGGTGTAATAATTTTTATAATGGGATGTGGGAAAAAAGCCCTTCAAATATCTAAAGTCTGATGTAGATTTAAAAAAAGTCAATGTAAGAGCTTGTTTTTTTGGAGGTAGTTTTCAAGTTCTGGTTATTTTGGAGTAGAACTCTGATTTTTTTTTTTTTTTTTTTGCTGGTCCTGGGGCTTAAACTCTGGACCTGAGTGCTGTCCCTGAGTTTCTTTTGCTCAAGGTGAGTGCTCTACCACTTAAGCCACAGTGCCATTTCCAGCTTTTTTGAGTAGTTTACTGGAGATAAGACTCACATGTGAACCACTGGTGCCTGACTTGGAGTAGAACTCTTGATGCAAATGTTTATGTAAGAGTTCAATATTTAAAGCAAGCTAAAAATAAGACCTTCCCGGCTAATAGCAGGAAATGAAGAGACAAACCCCTCCCCTCCTCCTGTAACTGCCCCTTCCCCAGAAACAAGTGTTATTTGAAGAATTACTGATAAATACCAGGCCAGCTTCTGGTTTAATTAAGAATAGTTTAGAGATATTTGCTTTTGCCCTAGAATCTGACTCTAGTGGTAAAAGGTTTTTTTTTTTCTTTTTTTTTGGGGGGGGGTCCAGTCGTGGGCCTCAACTTTGGGCCTAGGCACTGTCCCTCAGCTCTTCAGCTCAAGGCTAGTGCTCTACCACTTGAGCCACAGCGCCACTTCCGGCTTTTTTCTTTTTGCTTATGTGGTGCTGAGGAATTGAACCCAGGGCTTCTGGCATGCAAGGCAAGCGCTCTACCACTGAGCCACTTTCCCAGCCCCGGTAAAAGGGTTTTTAGTGCCTGGCTGGGTCTGAGTGTCAGCTGGGAAGTTATTCAACCTCCATGCTATTGACTGGAACTTTTGTTTGGGTATTATTGTTTTAGTGTTTTTTTTTATTTTTTATTGTAAAGATACTATATAGAGGGTTACAGTTACATGAGTGAGGTAATGAGTACACTTCCTCTTGAACATTGTTACCCCCTCCATTGTTTTCCCCCTACCATCCCCTCCCTCCCTCCCTTCCCCAGGTTCTTTTTTTTTTTTTGATTGTGATTA